TGAGACCAAACACTACGACCATATATTATACAAACCGCTGTTTTCAAAGTTCGATTCTGTTACGTGGCGATGCGCCAAGTGCAGGCTCAGGTAGGGAAAGGCGCTAATCTAAATTAGGCTGCAAATTGCATGACGTTGGTTATGACTAGTTGGAAGAATTTAAACTTAGTTTAAAACTGTTATGTTCCCACTCGCTAAATATGAAGTAGGTTGAGTAAGTTGGAATAGATAGAATAACCATTGTTGTGAAGGAAGAATAGCGTGTTCTCACTAAGCGTAAGCTGTGGTTCGATTCAATTTTGTGTGATAGTATTTCTGAAAGAAGCTTGCTGATCTAATCTAAAAAATCTAGGCTGGCTACTTTCTTAAAAGTAGGAAGAAAAGAATATTCAGGTTCAGGATGACGTCATAAGCTATTTATGCCTTTGTAAAACTTGTTTCTTCGTAAGCACTTATCTACAAAACATCACTGCGTGGGCCCTGAAGTTAAGCTTTGTTTCAAACGTTAGTCTTTTTTCCAGTCAACTGACAAAGACTTAAATTTGTCGTTCCAATCTACTAAAAGTGAAAACACTTAATTTCACTGTATTTATATCAGAAACGCCTTATCGCGTTGCATTCTTTTGCGACATATCCAGTTTCAGAGTCGCACTTAAAACTTAAAATTCACTCTTTATTAGTAAACTCACTAGATCCGATCAATTTTAAAAAGTCGTTGAATACCGTTGTTGGTAGCGAAATAATTATTTCAAATAGTTTTACTGCATTTTTGTTATCTTTTTTGATGTCCTTTGGAGGAGTCAGCTCTGTTCCATTCGACTTTATCTAAAGTGAATGATTGGAACATCTTGGACCGTAACTTCAGGTCTAAAACGAAATTTAGTCGAATAATAAGAGAGCAAACAAGTTTATCATTCTTTTGCAATTCATTGTCAGTAGTAGCTTGATATCAAAAATAATGATAATATCATAACAGATTCTGTGAATTGGAAACCCACACATCAAGTGGAGGCGGGGAAGGTCTTGTACTTTAATACCATTTAGTCAGTTGAAACAGTTACAACGCAAGATACTTTATAGAAATCTGAATGATGTCCGCCACTGTTCCGAAATTTCTAGGGCCAAATTTTTTGGCACCATTATTATAACTATGCTTGTCGTAATTACAATAATAATAGTAATAATAGTAATAGTAGTAATAGTAATAGTAGAGGTAATAATAATACTGTTATTGTTATTGTTATTATTATTATTATTATTTTATTATTATTATTATTATTGCTATAATTGCTGCTATTGCTATTATTGCTATAACCGTTATCACTGTTATTACTTTTGTCTGTCAATATAACTCATTTGTTCATTACTGTTATATTAATTGTTACTGTTTGCTGTTGTGACTGCCTTCTATAATAGCAGGAAAAAAAAAGGAAAAAAATATAGTAATACAAGTGAAAACACAGTAAAAGAGAAAACATATGGGAGCAAAAAAAAAAGAGCATTGCTCTGCGTAGGATCCGTGTTTGTTTCCTCTCTTTCTAAAACTATCAGATCAAATTTAAATGAACATTTTACTGCAGTCTTTGACCAGTTTATTGTCTTCCACTGTCGTAACTCAATATTTCGGTGCCGCTGAGCTGGTGTCACTTGGCACCGATTCTGCTGAGAAGCACCACTTTATATCATGATGAGGTGTTTGTTACAACTTCAGTTAACTGGGTGGTTTAATTGTTCTTCAGAATATAATAACCAATTTTCATGTTGAAGATTTAATAGCTGCACGATGGTGTTATAGAGTATTGACCAAGTGGCAGACAATTAGAGTGTAACTTCTTCTCTTGTGTCAAGTAGTTTTAATTTGATACCGAAAGGTTTTTAAACGTCTTCCTGATATTACTAGGCTGTTTTGTCTGACTTTTACGAACTTAATATCGCTACATTATGGTTCTTTAGTCATTCCGTAAATAGAACGTTATTTCTTACCGGGTGAAACTATATTACCCATAACTGAAGATTGTCGAATTCATGTCACATAATTGTTCTTCTAAATCAGCTTTTTTAGACACGAAACTC